TTTTTTTTAAAGATTTTATTTATTTGACAGAGAGAACCAAAGCAGGGGAGTGAGAGAGGGAGAAGCAGGCCTCCCGCGGAGCAGGGAGCCCGATATGGGACTCGATCCCAGGACCCCGGGACCATGACCTGAGCCGAAGGCAGTTGCTTAACGACTGAGCCACCCAGGCGCCCCATGCTTTTTTTTTTTTTTGCTATTCCTTAGTTGATCTGCTTCTCTTGTAAATTCTCTGTTGTGGCCTAGTATAGATGTTGCCCAAGTCGAATATGAGACAGGTGTTTGGTACTAGCAGTAAGCTGTTCTGGTGACTCAGAAAAACAATGTGATTCATGATTTTTCTGTTATCATTTTAAAAACTTAATTGGAAAATATTCATAAAAGTTAGCACTATTCTATTTTTTCTCCCTAATTTTTTCATTTCAGTAAAAGGAAGCCAATATTTTTGCTTTCCGAAACAGAGTGGGTTCAGGTAATGAAGAGTGACTTCTGTGTTACTGTGGGCCAGCAGTCAGAAGCCCCAATACTAGAACCGTCTGAAGTCCATCTTTACTACAGCTCCTACCATGAATGTCGCAATGAAAAAAATTACCACTTTTACAGAATTAGTGAGCATAAGTATGGCAAAGAGGCATGTTCAGTGGGAATTGGTGTCGTAGGATGAGCTCCCAAAGAGATGGTATAGGAGGAATTCTGGCCTAGCTTTAAATAAATAGGCTGTATTTTCATTTAGGAGATAAGCACTTAAATACATATATAATCACCTGCCAAGTGCTGAATTTGTTCAAGCTTCAGTTTTCCTCCCTAATACTGTACAATATGATAGGATCCATTAGTGAATTGTGTATTACTTTTCTTTTTAATTTTTATTTATTTGTCAGAGCAAAACCCTGGGAGTGGCAGGCAGAGGCAGAGGGAGAAGCAGCAGGCTCTCTGCGGAGCAGGGAGCCCGATGCGGGGTCAATCCCAGGACCCTGGGATCATGACCTGAGCTGAAGGTGTAGATACTTAACCAACTGAGCCCCCCAGGTGTCCCTATTGTGTATTACTTTGTAGCAAATCAAAACTTAATGACTGAAAGCCCAAAATATGGCTAAAAACAACAATAATCACTTAATAGCTCATTGTTTCTCTGGGTCTGGAATTCTGGAGCAGTTTGGCTGTGCAGTTCTGCTCCCGGTCTTTCAGGAGGTTGTGATCAGATGCCAGCTGGGGCTGCAGTTATTGAAGGCTTGATTGGAGCTATATGATCTACCTCCAGGGTGGCTCACTCATATGATTGGCAAGTTGATGCTGCCTGTTGGCAGGAGGCCCCAGGTGCTCCTCACATAGGCCTCTTCACACGGCTACCTGATTGAATTTTTGACATGATGGCTGACTTCCCTCAGAGCAAATGATCTAAGCATGCAAAGCAAAAGAAGCAATGCCTTTTATGATCTACTTAAAAGTTACACGTACTGAATTCTGCCATATTCTACAGGTCACACAGAACAGTTTGTTTCACTGTGGGAATAGACTACACAAGTGCATTGATACCAGAAGGAAAGATTCATTGGGACCACCTTGAAAGCTGGCTATAGCTAATACGTGCAAGTGCTTTGTAAACTGGACAATGCTATACAGATGCTGAATGGCATTTTATAAATACAGTGACCCAGTAAACCCAGAATATTACCTAAATAACTGCCTTTTTTACCATATTTAAAATGTCCCCAAATCAGAATTTACTTAGCATCATAGTATAATGCAGTTATTATCAATTCATATGCCATGATACACTTTGGAACCTCTAGCCTCACAAGTGTACCATCACATTTAGCTCACTACTTATTTCTACTAAAAGTGAGGTTAGATTACTGTTAAAGTGATAACTTTCAGAAGGAACTTCGACCTAAGTTCTATGATACCATGTATCATTAGGTATATCTTGACATAAGAGAAAAATAGTAAAGATGGTGTTTTGTGTAATGTATGAGAATTTTGTCTATGAACATATTAAAACTCAATAAAAACCCAAGTGACAAAGAGCTGGAAGGTGACCAGTAATAGTTACATGATAGCTAACTGAGCACTGTCAGACACTTTTCTAAGGGTTTTGGAAATGTAAAACATTTAAGCCTTGCAGCAACCCAATGAGTAGTCCTATTAAAAATTAGAAAACTAGGAATGAAAAGGTTAAATATTTTGCCCAAGTAATAAATCTAGTGACTGAACACTTGTGAGGTCAGTATTCAAATGCAAGTAGTCTAGATCCAGAGCAAGAACTCAACCCTGACTCTGTTACCGTGACTAAATTATGAACCTTAATATTCTGCTGCCTTCTTCAACACTTCTGAAAATGAATATTCTCAACTCTTAGAAACATCAAATGCTTCAGTTCAAAACCTTGGAATTATCAGGGGTTTTTTTCCGCCACAACCCATATCCAGTCTGTCAGCAAATCCTATTGGCTAGAAGTCAAATTGATAAAATTTTATATAGCCATCGGGATAACTGCAATAATTCTCTCACTGGCCTTGCTTTTTTTGCTTTCTAAGTCTATATTGTGGTCTCTCAAAACAGCCATTAGTAAACTTTCTAAAACATTAAGTCAGATCATACCACTTTGCAGAAAACTGCAGTGGCCTTTTTTTTTTGCAGTGGCTTTTCAGTGACGTCTTTTAACACCCTGTTTTAAACTGCAAGCCCTCCCCTTACCCTGCTTTATCTCTGTAGAACTTAACAGTTTGTATCATAACATATTTTATCTCCTTCCATTGGAAAGCATGGATCTTTGTCTTTTTCCCTGCTGATTTCTCAGTCTGCAACAGAGCCTGGCACATAGTAAGCGCTCTATATACATATTCGATGAATAAGTGAATTAATGTATTTAACGTGTTGATTTGCATGAAAACTTATGAGAATCAAGGTTGAGTACTCAATTAACACTTAATTGAGCACTTACTATGTCTAAACTTTCTGGGTGTTTCATTTAGTCTTCACAACCAGTTATGATGTCGCCTATTATTACCATTTTACAGAATAGAAAACTGATGACCAGAAGTCTGTTCCACAGCACGAAATTCTTCAGTGGACTTGGATTTTGTTTCCCCAGGAGTACTTCACAAAGGACTGAATTAAGAGAGCCTCTAGACCAGCCCTTAAGAACTGGGCTCTCTTCCAAGTAACCTGAGATTGCGACGCTAAGCGTCCATAGCAACCGTGGCGACGGACGCCCTTGAGCAAGAACCAGAAAGCGAGATCAGGGATAAGGTCAAGCCTTCCACACTCATACACACCCATTAAATCCCGAACTCAGAATATCATATCAGAACGCTGACCTGTCCCCGGTAGTGAAGGGAATATCGAAGTTAAAACGGTAACAGGGTGACAGAATCACCTGCGAAAACACTCCGCTTCCGGCACCAACAGGCTACGGAGTGACAGGGCGGGGACTGCGCAGAAGAGCCAACGAACCCTGCCTCGCTCAGCTTCCGTAGGGCGGGCTCTAGCCGGACTTATTTAGCAGCGCCCAAGCCCAAACCGGAAGTCGGGGCGGAGCTAATAAAGCGTCGGCGCCCACTCAACGGAAGTGGCTGTTGGAGGCTTTAAGGTAGCTTTAAATTCCTGGTGTCTCGGAAGCTTGCTCCTTTCTGTTGGAGTCGAGTTTCGTGGGACGGATGGCGGTGGACGTGAAGTCGCGAGCAAAGCGTTATGAAAAACTGGACTTCCTCGGGGAGGGACAGGTGAGGCTCTCGGCGGGATTCGGAGGTCTCTGAACAGAGAACGCGGAGCCGCCTCACACCCTCACAGATTTTCTGGTGCAATTGAGAGGACTGACCTGCCTACTCCTTTTTGGGCGAGGCTGCCCAGACGCACCTGCTGCCCCTTGTGTGTACCCTCGAGGGGAACCCCTAAGCGGCCCTGTCCTTTTTTTTTCTTTTTTTTAAAGATTTTATTTATTTATTTGACAGAGACAGCGAGAGAGGGAACACAAGCAGGGGGAGTGGGAGAGGGAGAGGCAGGCTTCCCTCGGAGCAGGGAGCCCGATGCGGGGCTCGATCCCAAGATCCCGGGATCATGACCTGGGCCGAAGGCAGACGCTTAAGGACTGAGCCACCCAGGCCCCTCGGGGCCCTGTCCTTTCTGAAGGATAGACAGGAACGGGAAGTAGCCTGCCTCACCACGTTCCACGCCGCCACGAATCCGATCCAGGAATCCCGGGCTCTTTGCTTCTCCAAACTAAATAAGTAAAAAGGCAAACACAAACACAAAGCTCCCACAAACCTAAGATTATTTGTTTTTCTCTCTAGTTTGCCACGGTTTACAAGGCCAGAGACAAGAACACCAACCAAATTGTCGCCATTAAGAAAGTGAGCTACTGTTATTTTTCCTTGAGTCTCTGAAGATGTTTGTATGTATGAGCTGATGCCTGGGCTTTTTACAACTCTCAACAGTGCTCTGCTAATGAGATATTTATGTCGTTTTCAGAGAAAACAATTTTTTAGTGCTTGTGTTCAGGATGGAACTCGGGTTGAACTAGTTTTGTTGTTGTCCCATTAATTGGAATTGAAATGAAGAGGAAGCTATATATTACTTTATAAACTCAGACGTAGGCAAGGGGACCAAGTACCCATCTGTTGGGTCCTCAGAACTATTTAGTGCCGTGATATTCCCAGGTCACGGTTTCTGCCCCACCTGCATCCCTCATGTGTATCATCTGTGTTTTCTGTGTACAGATTTTCCATGAAAGGCTTTCGTGAGCATTAACACTGATGTGCCTTTTTAGTAGCTTTTTTACTTGCATTCATTAAAGAAACTTGGGTCATATGTAGCTAATTTTCTACATGTCAGGCACTTTCACTTACATTCTTTTCACTTAGCCTTCAATATAGCCATGTGAAGTAGGGGAAGTATCCTTATTTTACACTTGAGGTACCTGAGACCAAGAGAGATTGAGTAACTTGTCAAAATGACACAGATACTAATACTAAAACTAGGATTTAAATCCAGGTGTTTTGCTGCCAGGTTGCTTGTTCTTTCCCATGCTACTGAAATCAGTAATCCTCTCAAAGAGAGGTTTTTGTCATATCTCAAGGTCTCTTGGTGGGGTAGGTGACCTCCACCTCCTCATTTTACTTGTCAGAGAGCGCGCACTGCACAAGTAGGGGGAGAAGCAGGCTCCCCGCTAAAGCAGGGAGCCCCCACATGGGGCTGGATCCCAGGACTCTGGGCCACCCAGGTGTCCTCACCTCCTTATTGTTCCTGTTGCTATTTGAATTTATTTCTCCTTCAAAATTCCTAACTCCTTTGAAGCCTAGTCCCCTGATTCACTTACACCCACTCCCTGTCACCCTCTCCACAATTATTCCTGCTGTTGTTATCTTTTTACTTTTTCTGATTTCTCTCATCTCTGTTTTCCAACTTAAATTCTATAATCCAGCATTGTAGCTACTCCTGTGTAAAAATTCTTATCTATTCTGACCCTTTCTAAAGTTACCTTTTTTATTCTACCTGTGGTCCATTATGTTCTGGTCACACTGACCTTTCTGTCCTTTGAACACATTAAATTCAGTGCATTCCCAGGATCCTTGGATTTGCCTGCCTTCTGGCTAGTATATTTTTCTCTAAAACTTGGCAAGTTTTAGATTTCACTCAAATGTCTCCCCCACATAGAGGCCTTCAGTGGTCACTCTAGTTAAAATAGGTGTGCCTCCCTACTTCCCTAGTGTTTCTTGCCATATTTCTCCATTATCTTCATAACATTTATCAAAATCTGAAATCCTCTTATCTGTGAGCTTATTGTCTATTTACTTCCACTCAAATTATACTTAGGATCCTGTCCAGTACATTTGTAGACCTTCATTAAAAATGTATTAACCTAAAAAAAAACGTATTAACCCGACTGATATAATCTTCATTGTTGGCATACTGAGTTAATGTAGTTGTTTGAAAGCCCTAGTGGGATTTGTTTTGTTTGGGGGGGGGGGGT